AATAAGCTCCTTTGTTTTGGATTTGCAAAAACCTGACATTAAGCCAAGTGACTAATGTGACTAACGTGAGTCATACAAGAAATAAAAGAATACAAATCTTGGATCAACCCTGCCATCTAAATCATTTAATAATTTATGAATCTTACAAACATGTGTTGAGCACACACTATGCAAACCACTGGGTTAGACACTAGATCTAGGGATTCAAAGGACTCAGTGTGTGCATTGAAGAAACTGAAGGTCTGGTGGGGGAGGCAGACAAACAACTAAAACCCAGTGTGGTTAGCTAGGCCGCCATGGACATGAGCCAGGGCACATGCTAGGATGGGACCCAAGCTGTGGCATCCAGGAAGAGGGGAACGTGTAATGAAAAGAAGACTTGACTTTTTGTTAAGGAGCTTTATTGAAATTTAGTTCATATTCCCTACATTTCACTCATTTGAAATGTATAAGCAAATGGTTCTTGGCTTCTTACATAATTTTTTAAATTATGATAAAATATAAAATTTGCCATTTTACTCACTTTTAAGTGTACAGTTGAGGGGCATTAATTACATTCACAATATTGTGCCGCCCTCAACACTGTTTCCAGATCCTTATCCTCACTCCAGACAGAAACACCTTAACCTTTAAGCAACAATTTCCTAGCCTCCCTAACCCAAACCCTTGGTGACCTCTAATCTGCTTTGTGTCTCTAGGAATTTACCCATTCAAGGTATCTTATAAGTAGAAACATACAGTATTTTTCCTTTTGTGTCTGATTTGTTTCTCTTAGCACAATGTCTTTAAGGCTTGTTCATGTTGTAGCATGTAACAGAACTTCATTTCTTTTCATGGCTGAATCATATTCCATTGTGTGTATACACTGTATTTTGTTTAGTCCTTCATCTGCTGAAGAACATTTGGATTGTTTCTACTTTTTGAATGTTGTGAAAAATGCTACAGTGAACATTGGCATCTACATATCTGTTCAAGTCTATGCCTTCAATTTCTTTGGGTATTTACCTCAGAATGGAATTGCTGAGCCATGTGGTCATTCTGTGTTTAGCTTTTAGGAACTATCAGACTGTTTTCCTTAGTGGCTGCACCATTTTACATTCTCATCAGCAACATACAAAGGTTCCAGTTTTTCCCTGTCCTTACAACACTTAATTTCCTTCTTTAAAAAGCTTATTTTTATTATAGCTGTCTTCTTAGGTGTGAAGTGGTATCATGGTTTAGGACTTTACTTCATGTGCTGAATTTTTTTAAAATTATGATTAAAAACACATAACAAAGTTTATGATTTTAACCATTTTAAAATATATAGTACAGTAGTGTTAACTCTTTGTGGTGTGTTGTGCAACAGATCTCTAGAACTTTTCTACCTTGCAAAACTTAAACTCATTAAACAACAGCTCCCAACTTCCCCTTCACCCCAGCACTGTGTAACCTACTTTCTCTACTAGAAGTTTGACTACATTAAATAATACCCCATATAAGTGAAATCGTGTGGTATTTCTGTTTCTGCGACTGGCTTACTTCATGTAACATAATTTCCTCAAGATTCATCCATGTGATAGCATGTGACAGGATTTTTTTTTTCATTTTTAAGCCTGAATAATATTTCACTGGGTGTATATATATATATATATATATAATCACATTTTCTTTATTCATCTGTTGATGGACATTTAGTTGTTTCGATATCATGGCTATTGTGAATAGTGCTGCAGTGAACACAGTTATGCAAATATCTCTTCAAGATACTGTTTTCAGTTCTTTTTGACATATACTCAGAAGTGGAATTTCTAGGTCAGATGGTAGTACTATTTTTAAGTTTTTGAGGAACCTCCTTGTCATTTTTCATGGTGAATATTCTTTCTTTTTTTTTAACATTCCTATCAACATACACCAAGATTCCAATTTCTCCACAACCTCCCCAACACTGTTGAATGGAGTAGTGAAGTCTCCTACTATTACTGTGTTGCTGTTTTTTCTCCCTTCAATTCTATTAATGTTTGCTTTATATATTTAGGAGCTTAATATTAGGGCCACATATGGTTATAATTAATATGTCTTACTGGTAAAGAGACCTTTTTATCATTATATAATATCTATCTTTTTCTCTTGTGACAGTGTGTGTCTTAAAATCCATTTTTTCTGATATAATTGTGACCACCGCTGTTCTCTTTGGGTTCCTGTTTTTACGGAATATCTTTTTCCATCCTTTCACTTTCAGCTTATGTGTGTCCTTAGATCTAAAGTGAGGCCTGTAGACAAGGTATAATGGATTCTGTGTGTGTTATTCACTCAGCAAGTTATATTTTTTAATTGGAGAATTTAATCCATTTACATTTAAAGCAATTACTGACAAGGAAGGGGTTACTCTTGTCATTTGGCTAGCCTTTTAGTTTTGTCCTGTGGCTTTTCTGTCTTTCTTTTTCTTCCTGGATTCTTTTTTATTTTTTTCTGTAGTGACATGTTTTGATTCCCTTTTCATTTCCATTTGTGTGCATTCTATAGATACTATCTTTGTGGTTACCATTGTAACTACATAAAACATACCAAAGTTAGAGCAATCTATTTTAAACTGTTTACAACTTAACTTCAGTGGCATATAAAACTCTGTTCCTTTACATCTTTCACCTCCTCCCTACCAACTTTATGTCTTTTGATATTGCATATCCTTAACAGAGATTTACAGCTACTTTTTATGCTTCTCTTCTTTAAATTCTGTTTAAATATTGTTTTTGAAATTTAGACTTTGAAGTTATTTATATACCTTCATTACAATACTATAGAATTTTATAATATTCTAAATATTGACCTTTACCATGGAGCTTCCTGTTTTCATATGGTTTTGTGTTGCTATTTATCAACCTTTTATTTCTCCTTTTAGCCTTTCTTGTAGGGCCGGTCTAGTGGTGACAAACCACATCAGCTGTTGTTTGTCAGGGACAGTCTTAATTTCTCCTTTGTTTTTGAAGGGCAGTTTAGCCCATACGGTCTTTTTGTTTGGCGGTTTTTTGAATTTCAAAACTTAGAATATAATATTCCACTTCCTTCTAACCTGCAAGATTTCCATTGAGAAATGCACTTAATGGATTTTTTAATACATTGAGATAATTTTTTAATTCTGTCCTGTAGAATTGAAAATTTTTAATCTTTTTTTTTTGAGATGGAATCTTTGTTGCTCAGGCTGGAGTGCAGTGGCGCAATCTTGGCTCACTGCAACCTCCGCCTCCCGGGTGCAAGCAATTCTTCTGCCTCAGCTTCCCAAGTAGCTGGGATTACAGGTGCATGCCGCCATGCCTGGCTAAATTTTTGTGTTTTAATAGAGACAGGGTTTCACCGTGTTGCCCAGGCTGGTCATGAACTCCTGAGCTCAGGCAGTCTGCCTGCCTTCACCTCCCAAAGTCCTGGGATTACTAGTCATATAACATATTAACATGTATTTTATACTTAAAATATCTTATATTTAAAAGTTGATGATCATATATATTTTATACAGGGACCTAGAGTAGTAGGGAATAAAGCACAGCCTTTTGATCAGCATGCCTGATTCTGAGTCCTTCTTAAAAGACTCTGCTGAGACGAATTTTCCTCATTTCTAAAACAGAATAATAGATTTATGTCAGTATTTTTGTAAGACCCAAATGAAATGTATGTAAAGTGTAAAATGAGATACAGTTAGTAGAATTATTTCATTAATGCTCATCATGAGAGGTGTTCTTTAGATCCTGTGGCATTTGGTATGCAGTTCACGTTTGCTTAGAAGAACATGAGCAACTGGTGCAAACCTCATGTGTTCTGCTTCCCCAGTGGCCTCCTGCATCTCCACAGAGCCACTGCTTCCTACAGTGCCTGCTGCTTCTGTGAACCTGCAGCCCCATCCTGCCAAAATGGGGCTTCTCATGAGGTTGAGAATAGCTGTGAAAGTGTTTACATTGAGTGAAGTTGTAGAGTTCATTGTTTATTATTTTTCTTCTTTATTTATCTGGCAGCTCTTGAAGTCCTATTGGCTGGATAATTTTGCAAAAGACTCTGTAAACCCCGGAGTCATGGTGTTGCTGGGATGTGGTGCCTTATCCAGCACCTGAGGTCAGCTAGCCAGCTACCCTTTGGCTTTGGTGAGAACTCGCATGCAGGCTCAAGGTGAGTTTTTGATGACAGAACCACACCAGTAAAAGTGCTGCACCAGTAAGATACGTTCAGAACTCCAGGTTCCACTAAGATGGTATTGCTCAACCTTTTTTCATTATTGCCTTAAGGAATCTTTTCAGAAATTCTTTTCTAAATACTCCCTCATCATGAAATTTTAATGTGACAGAAGCATTGCATATATACTGTATGCATACATATGCCTTATACATAAACAGAGTAAAAATTTTTTTTTGACTGTGTTACATGCACGTTTTAAGAGTATAAGCTTTGGTATCTGATGGATTTGGGTTCAGATCCTTGACTCAGACTTCTTGGGGTTTTTAATGGAAATGAAAATTGTACAGCATTGTAAGAAATACCAACAATATAAATAAAGCATCTGGCGTTTGTTAAATTCTTGGTAAATAGTGGCTTGGTAAATGTAACTTCTTGGGAAACTATCTCTACCTTGATGATTTTATACACACAAGATGAACAACAAGGAATATGCTTAGATGTATGGAGAAAGAGGTGAGTCTGCAGCACTGTCACAAGGGGCACAAATACTGAGAGACTGCTGAGGAAACTGTCCCCATCACTGACTCTCACGTGAGACCAGGGGGCCTTGGGTTTCAGCACAGCCTGGGCAGTTGGAATGCAGGGCTCCTGAGATTCCATGACACCCCCACCTTCGAATTCTGTTATTGCAACTGCAGACGGTTACCTGGCACGCTGACTCTGACCTCCCTCAGTCTTGTCAGAGGCAGAGCTACAGGCAGTGCCTTCGGCTCTGAGCTCAGGCATCCTAAACGCTGTTTTTGCTGTTAGGGTTCTAAAGTGCTGTGGGGTGTTGATTAAGTTCTTCACAACCGTAAGTTACAATACCAGGTGTGGTCATCCCTCAGTCCTGACTAAGCCTAGTTGATTTCACTAGTTATTGATCCATCATGTGCTTGGGTTTCTTCTCCCCAGTCCCTGTTTGAACTCTCCTGGCACAAACATCAGCATGGTGGTAACTGCCACACATTTGTCCCATGACAGGGCAGAGATGAAAATCCTAGAAATCAACCAGGAATTGCGCTCCCAGCTGGCAGAGAGCCAACAGCAGTTTGAAGACCTCAAGGAGAAATTTCTTATAAGTCAGGCTACTGCCTACTCTCTGGCCAAGCAACTAAAGAAATATGGTAAGCTTTATAGATTCACCATCACAAAAGTGATGAATCAGCACCTGTCTTCTGTCTGAGACACTGAACAGCCACTTCATCAAAATTAATTTCATCCTTTCCTTAGTTCTAGGAAAACAGAAATGGGTATTTTAACTTGATTGTGTTAAGGATGGAAAACAGAGGCACAACGTACTTAGCAACTGTTCCACGTTAGCAGTCCGATGTGCGGTGGGACTAGAGTTAAAATCCTGCCTACTGACCTCTGACACAGGCACAGAACCACTTGTTTTTCTCAGCAAGATGCTCAATCATGTTTACGAGAACGCTCTCTGTACCCTTGAAGATCCTGCAGACAAATAACATCTACTCTGTTGGTCTAAAGACCTGGAACTAAGGAATGGCCATTCCGTTTAAGCTTCTTTGAGGCCCAATAGGCAAACCTCTCTTCAGGGAACTCCGGGCGAAACGTGGTAACAGTACAGAGTACCTGCTCTAAGGAGCTTAAAGAGGAGGCTGCTTCCAATTGTAACGGTGGCATCCCTAAGTAACAGCATGAAGAGCAGGGAGTACCCTGGGGAGAGGGAAGTCCTGTTTCCTGGGGCACAGGCTCTTTTTCTAAAGAGGAAGAAAGACGGCACGTAAGACATTGTGGAGGTGGCAGTGCCGTGTGCAGAGCAGGGAGCCTGGGCCAGTCTCCTGGGCTTCATCCAAGTGGCCTATCTTCTCTGTGCCTCAGTTTCCTCATCTGTTCATTGGGTACTATAATAATACCTACCTCTGTAAATTGCTGCAATGAATTACATGACTTGTTTCTTCTAAATCTCCCAGAACAATTCTTGGCACAGAGTAAGCACTATCTATTAGTTCTTCCTTCTACTGCTTCTAACTTAATTCAAACTTTATTAGTATTTGGTCATATTTCTATGATGACCTCAGGGTCTTATGCCTCCTATTTCATGCAATTATATTCAGATAGATTTTTTCAATCTTTGACATATATGTGCTTGAAATTCCCAGTACCAGGGAATCCAGGAGTCCCATAGTCCCAAGGGCCTTTCCTACTACACAGGATATCACTACTTCATGCCCCAGTAGAGTGTTTGACAGGAGAGGCTGCAAGGCTTGGAAAAGTGTCCCAGGATTCAGAGCCAGACCTCAGGGGCTAAGAATTCTGACTCTTCCTCATCCCAGGTGAATCATCCTGTCAAGTTACTTGATGTGTCAATGAGTTTCTTTTTCCCCATCTCTAAGTTGGAGAGTGTCAGATGCCAGCAAGTTGGGGGAAGTTGATAATAAAAAATGAAAAAACTCCCTCACTACAATCTGGTACTGGGGATGCTTTTGTCCTTGGGATAGACACTGCCACCTGCCCTGCAGGCAGTGACCACACCAGCATGTCCAGCCTTCCACTGAGGCAGGCATGACTGTCTCTTCTCAGGGAGTGAAGAGGACAAAGACATCATAGACTCTGTGCTGAGGGATGAAGTGCAGTTCACAGAGGAGAAGCTGGCAGAGAAGCTCAGGCAAGCTGAGGAGCTCAGGTGAGCAGACGCCGTGGGGACAGGCAGGTGGGCCGGGATGTGATCTCTGAAGTGCAGCAGTTCAGCTGGGAGAAGCAGGAGCTAAGCTGGGCCAGGGCAAGGGCAGGCATTTACATGGCAGGCACATTACACACAAACACTCATAAAACAGAACAGTAATCTTAGCAAGTTATGGGTTGCAGTTGTTTCTTGAGTTTTGGTTTCTCTTCTTAAAACAACTAATTGTTGAGTTGAAATTTACATATCCAAAATTCATTCAAAGAAAATGAACCACCCAGCAGCATTTAATACACTCAAAATGGTGTGTGATCTCCGCCCATTTACTCTTAGTCAGAGTCACCTCCTGACTGACTGCAGCAACTCATTCGTTCAATCAATATTGTCTTCTTGACCTGCCATTCTTTTCTTCTTTCATCTTTCCAATTCATCTACACCTGGTCACAGCTCTGTTTCCAGTCACTGCAAGATGCACTATGTGAATTTTCACATAGAAATGTCCATGGCCAAAGTGAGGAGGTAAAAGGACATCCCCTTGAAACTGACTTGAGAAGACAATGACTTTTGTTTACAGAAGAAATAAATGAATGGAAAATCACAAATGATCTTACAGGAGCTCTCTCTGATACAGAGGAAGCCTTTGTATATATAAATACAATATATTTGTATACAATATATATATGCATATTTTAATGGAGTCTCATTTCTGTCACCCAGGCTGGAGTGTAGTCACACAATCTCAGCTAACTGCAACTTCTGCTTCCAGATTTCAAGCAATTCTCCTGTCTCAGCCTCCCAAGTAGCTGGGACTACAGGCATGCACCATCATGCCTGGCTAATATTTGTATTTTTAGTAGAGACAGGGTTTCACCATGTTGGTAAGGCTGGGTTTGAACTCCTGACCTCAGGTCATGTGCCCGCCTTAGCCTCCCAAAGTGCTAGGATTACAGGCATGAGCCACCATGCCCTGTCAAACATACATATATATGTTTGTATATATGTATATTTAATGCCTGTATATATTATATATTATACAAAATATATATACATATATGGACACAGGCATTTCCCCAAACATGTTGTGACCTTCTGCTTGGAGGGCTCCTTGAGGACATTCTCACATAAACCTCCGTTGCAGTATTAGAACTGATCACTCATCCCTTTCTGTTATTAAACGTTCTCTGCTATCTCACCGTAGGCAATATAAAGCCCTGATTCACTCTCAGGCAAAAGAGCTGACCCAGTTACGGGAGAAGTTATGGGAAGGGAGAGATGCCTCCTGCTCACTGAATCAGCATTTAAAGGCCCTCCTCACTCCTGGTGACCCTGACAAGTCCCAGGGTCAGGACCTCCGAGAGCAGCTGGCTGAGGGGCACAGGCTGGCACAGCGTCTTGTCAACAAGCTCAGCCTAGGTAAGGTGGACACAGGCGCTGATGACACACAGCCCCAGGCTTATGAATGTCCCCAGACCTCCACACCTCCACAATGGCAATTTTATGGGTAGTGTTTCTTTCCACTAAAAATTTGTAGTCATGACATGACCAGGACTTCCTGGGCAAAAACAGAGATGGGAAACCCATGGGGCTGTAGGTCACATGATTGCAAATGTCCCCTCATTTCTTGCTGGAATATGGTCTTTGGGGCAAGATGAAGCATCTGTCCAGTTTTAAAGGACAGGAAGGAGACTGTGACAGGAGGCAGCTTGTTAGATTAAAAAGAGCCCTGGACTAAGAATGCATGTTCCCAGGCTCTATCTTCAGCAATGTCTTTAGCAACTGTGAGGAACTGATTAATTTATACTTCCTGAGTTCCTGTCTCTAAATCTGTAAAGGCAGACAAACTGTCTCTTGCATTCAAATGTGGGAACACTTATGACTATAATATTTCACAATGAGATAAAGCCACTTGCTGTGTGGTGTTGGAGAAGGCACTTGATGTGGGGGCATTTGGTGGTAGGAAGTGATCTAGACTGGAACTCCCCATGGAGAGAGTGTCCCTGGATAGCACAGTGGAAGTCATTTGGAGCGCCCATGAAGTCCCCGATGTATGGAGTATTGTGGGACAAGTTTGTTTGTCCTGTCCTAAGAGAAAGACACAGGTTGTAATGCAAGCTGTGACAGGACACAGAGCCTGTGCCTGGGTATCTGAACAGTGGCAGGATTGAGAAGATAGCTGCTGAAGCTTAGAGAGAGGCTGGACAAGCCTCCAGTAATGTGGGGAGCAAGAAGTCTTTTCAATATTTGGCCACATCTTGATAGTGGCCCTCCAGTTCAGAAACACATTCCCTCATGGATTAGGAGATCATGCCAGGGCATTTTTTAGAGGCAAACCGGAGAGTTTTCAGCACAATGCAGATCCATACATGGATGTTCATGTCTCAGTGCACATAGGGCTGACTGCGTTTCCAGTGACTGAGGTGGGAAATATCTGAATAGATGCTTCTGTATTTGCAGAAAGTGATGAAGATGAAGATGTTACAGATGAGGAGGTCGAGAAAGGACAGGAAACACCTGCCCCCAGGTAACACTGAATAATCAGGAGTGGGTAATGGGTGGTAAAATATGAAAGAACACGAGGTAGGTGAAGGTAGTCACAGATTCCAGATGAGGGTACAGAGAGCTGCAGAGTGCACTGATTTCATGCACTCGCCAACAAGAAAATAGCCATGTTAACATGCGTGTCCATTGTCTTCATGGCACCTGTAAGCATGACCCTTGATGAACTCACTAGCCCTAGGGACTTCCTGCACACACAGGGGAGGCCTGTCCTCCCCTGTAGTGAAGCCAGGATGAGATGGATAGCCACTTTCCTTGACTCTTGTTGTCCTTAGACTCTTGTTAGGGAAGATAAATAACAAGAGACAAGAAGCAGAGGAATTAGGGAGCGCCTACCAAAGATAAACACCAAGAAAAGTGCCCAGGAAAACTTTACATTTCACATCACAATGTGAAAATTAAAAAAAAAATCTACCAGGCACGCCATCTCCAGAGTCTACCAAGGCTCAGACACCTGTATTCCCTTGGCCACAGCATGTTAAATACAACCCAGCTTAGACACACGGTGTGGCAGCTGTCTTTGGTTCTTGTGAGTGCTGTGAAGACTGTACCATACAGAAGCAGCTGAGCCTCTGCCTTCCTCAGCTCCTGTCTGTCCAGTGCACTGAACACCAGCTGCTCTCTTCCTCTCTGGTTCCCAAGGCAGCCATGCTCTTTTGCAGATAGAGGAGGATTGCCTGTTCCCTCTTAAATGGAACCTCCCCTTTGCTTTCTGGGGCCACTACCTTATGCCTCCCATCAAAACCAGCTGGGAACTCCTGGGGTCGAATCCCTCTTGGTTTACTCTTTGTCATCTCTATCCTACCTGGTGCATCAGGGAGGTACAGAGGGCTGAGGAAAAGGAAGTCCCTCAGGACTCACTGGAGGAATGTGCTGTCCCTCGTTCAAACAGCCACGGCGCTTCTGACTGCAACCAGCCTCACAGGAGCACCAAAGTCACATTTGAGGGAGACAAAGTCGACCCTGCTCTGGTTGTAGACAGTGAATTCTCTCAGGATGAAGAGGAGGAAGCTCCAAACATTCTCCCAGGTAGCCTCTACATTCTTTATCCCTCGTACCTCTGTCTAGGCTAAGAAGATCAACTCTGAGGGCAGGCTGTATACAAACCCATTGATTTGAATAGGAAACTAGGGTGAAGTTGGGGGCAGTGGCTCACATCTGTAATTTCAGCACTTTGGGAGGCCCAGGTGGGTGGATTACTTGAGTTCAAGAGTTCAAGATGAGCTTGGGAAATGTGGTGAAATCCAGCTTTATAATGAATACAAAAAATTACCCGGCAAGGTGGTTCACACCTGTAGTCCCAACTACTCCAGAGCCTGAGGTAGGAGAACCATCAGTGCACAGGAAGTTGAGGCTGCAGTGAGTCATGACTGCATCACTGCACTGCACCCTGGGTGACAGAGAGAGACGCTGCCTCACAAATGAAAGAAGGAAGGAAGGAAGGAAGGAAGGAAGGAAGGAAGGAAGGAAGGAAGGAAGGAAGGAAGGAAGAAAGGAAGAAAGGTGGTCAGGAGGCGGGGGAAGGAAGGAAGTGAAGGAGAAAAGAAGGGAGGGAAGGAGAGAAGGAAGGAGGGAGTTCTAGGATGGAATATTTAATACAGATGTCAGTGGGACAGAAGGTTTCCACTTCTCCCTGGCCCCAGTATCAGGTTACTGGACCACAGGCAGGTGGGACAAATTCGTCGCCACCTGTGTACGTGAGCTGTACCGGAGGTATCTGTGAGGCCGCCTAGCTCAGTTCCTATGTCTCTTGTCACCTCTAATGATGTAGTTTGTGTCCCTACACAATGTCCATGGAGATTCTATGCTTGGCCAAGGCCACTATCGAAGACAGCCTTGCCTACATATTTAAAGATGTTGTTTCCCTGGTGTCATTCTTCCCAGCCTCAGTCTGGGTCTACTTTGAGTCAGCTCGTCTTAGCTAGGCAGTCACCCTGATACCAGGAGAAATACAAATTTCTCTAAGAATTCATCGTCCAGATTATATAGTGAGATAAATCAGTATTGCAGCAACACTTCTGAACAATAGTTAGGGCCATTTCTGAAGATCATGGAGGAAAAGTTTTCTTTGTTTGCACAGACTTAGGTCAGAGGATATGTGATTAAGATCTATCAGATGAGGGAGATTCTGTCTCATGGGTCTGGAAAGCAGGCTCATCTACTTCTGACAAGACTTGATCTAGAGCGCATTAGAACCTTCCTGTCAGAATATCACATTCTTACACTGAAGATATTGACGTCTCTGTGCTATGACTGGACACTGATTTGGTCTTGTGTGAACTGTGATTTACTTACTGTGACCTGCTTTTCTGAATTTCTTTACAGGAAATCAAAAGGATCTTAAGGAAGAGGAAGAGAAAGCGCCAGTGCCCCCCAGGTAACTGTGGATTTGTGGACTGTTAGCTCAATAGTGACACCTGAGACCAGGGACCCAGGAGAAAATCGGTTGGGAAGTGATGAATAGAACAGTCACATCCATTCATCCAACTGCAAATTACCCCTTTAACAATATTGTCTTCTTTATTGTGGTACTTAAATAGGTTTCAATTTCTTAATCCCTCTCAAGCATAGGAACCCACAATCAGTTGAGCAGGGGAACTGACCGAACTCAGGGATTTCCTGATATCTCCTGCTGTCTACCTCTATGGCATTAGCATGTTTGCAAGTATTTGATAGAAGGAAAGGGAATGAAAATAGCTCATGTCATGCTCACAGTTTTGAGGACAAGTGATGTTGAGGATAAAGGAACTCTTTCTGTGAAAATTCCATAACCCATAGTCAATTGGCCTCTGATGCTTGTTTCAACAACATGTATGCAGAAGCGCTGAATGCACTGTGTCCTGGCAGTTTCCCACAGGGATCCCTCCATCTCCTTCCTCCCCAGCTCATTGTCTTCCCAGTCCACTGATCACCTGCCACTCTGTCTCCTGCTTGAGACAGGGAAGGATGGTTATGAGGGCACTGTAATGGCTTCCTCTGGCCTCTCCTGTGGTCCTCCCTATGGAACCGGCGGGGTGCACTGGTTTTGGTCCTGTCCAGTGTTTATTCTCGGTCGTCTTTACTCCAGGCTGAGCCAGGAGCTGCCAGGGATAAAGGAGCAGGAAGTCCCAGAGGACTCCTTGGATGAAATTTACTTGACTCCTTCAGCTCACCATGACCTGTCTGACTGCCACCAGCCTTATAGCGGCACCTTGTCCTCATTGGATGATCAGCTCACATGCTCTGCTCTGGATGTAGCCTGTGAGTACTCCAACCTGAAGGCCACAAAGCTCCAGTGTCTTCCCAGGCAGCCTCCACGTGTTTTCTTTCTGCAACTTGTGCTGCTGAGACAGCTTTCAAAACAGACTGAAAACTGAGTCTGTTTTCAATCTGCCTCTGGGATCCAGTTTTGATCACATACATCCAGAGGGTGAAACTTCCTCTACTCCTGTCCCAAGTGACTCCTCTGTCACCTGGCTCCTTCTTACAAGAGCAGGCTGTGGGCATGATTGCTGGAAAGGGGTTAGGACTTTTAGCAAGCTCTTGCCCGCAGTAGCTCATCTAGATATATTTGCACAACAAACCTTCTTCTTAAGACCTGGAATCTCTCCTTTCTGAAATTATGTTGTTAACTACATGCCTGGAACAGTGCCATTATCTCTTCTCTGGCCACCCACACATGCAAGCAGTTTTGTACAAGTATTTCACTTCAGGGACACCCTAGCCCTGGAACCCCAGCCCGTGTCAGTGTCCCCAGGCACACACAGGAAAGGTGACATCACCTATATTTACATGATGTCTCTCTGTGTGGCCTAGGTCCCTCGATTACTTTAGTGAGTAGGAGAAACAGCAAAGATGGGTGTTTTGGGTGCATTTAACAATGGGAAAACTGAGATTGTTTCTACTGAAGCCTCTTCTCCTTTCAGCTTCCACCCAGGAGACCTGTCACAAAGGGACTTGCATTGGAGATTTGAGCTACTACCTGTCAGAGGTGCAGGCTTCACAGACACAGCCGGAGCCAAGGACCCTGGTGCCCAATTGTCTGGGACTAGAGCTGGATCAAGGGATCGACTGTGGGAATGGCTTAGCCAGGTGGGGCCTTTCCTCCACCACCTGCAGCTTCACAGCCAATGCTGATTCTGGGAACCAATGTCCCTTTCAAGGTAGGGAAGGAAAGGGGAATAGGAAGATCTAATCCAGGTCTTGGTGGTCATGGTGCTATGGATGGAGGAGAGAATGGGGCCTCCCCATGCTCACTCAGGGTCAAGTTGAAATCCAGAATATTCCAACCCAGTGAGGTGAGCGAGAGCCTGGAGCTTAGGACAAAATCTGCTCTCAGGTCCTGGGTTTGCATCTTTCTGGTTGTTCACTTTGACCTAAGAATTTGCCTTTTGGGAATGTAAATCTCTGTTTTCTCATCAGAGCTACCTAAGAAATAGCATCTACCTGTAATCATTGTTGAGCGTATTATTATAATTTCCAAAGGCCCTGATTCAGTAACAATTGCTCAATATACCTATAAATAGCTGTTGTCTAATCCACTTTTCTTTCTGCCAAATTTACATTTAGAAAGTGACTTCATAGACTATGCCTTCTGTGAGGTAGAGCAATTGTGACGCTCTCCATTTTCTAGAGACCAATCTTCCCTTCCTTTCTTACACATACTTCTCTGCTAGTTTTCTTCCTCTTCTTCCCCATCCCTCATGAAGCCAAATCTCCACTATCAGGCACTTTCAGTGACAACCTATGAGGCACATTCAGTAACAGTGTTAATCCTGGGCCCACAAGTCAGTCTCATGACATGTCTAGCTCCTTTTTCTCCTTTTTTTTTTTTTTTTGACTCTTTTTGAAAACAAAGAGCAACTTTCACACAGCAAGTATTCACATCAGTCTCTTTTATGAAAATCCATTTAGTTCATCATCTCCACTCATGTCCACAGCCATGTCCTCAGTTTCCATCTCACAGGGATCCACTTGGGTTCAGATTTCCTTAAAACCCTGGGTCGTGTTCATTCTCACTCTCCATCCCACTCAATATCACCTCCTAGAGCCCCTGGGGCTGCCTGCCGCTCATCTGTCAGGAGATATCCTCAGGTGAAGAATGAGGGGACCCGTGTTCTCAGGAGGAGAGAAGGTCATGTGAGATAACAAGCACCATCTGGGTCCCTAGAGAGGACACATGGATGGTACTCAGCGGTTGTCGGGAGATAGGCAGTCCCTTACAGTGCCATGATAACTTATTTAAACTGATTTATTCCCACGGGAAGAAAAAATCCTTTGCTTCTCTATGGATTCTCACACCCCAGCCAAGACTGCCCCCACTGGTTCACACACACTCTCTCTTATTCACGTTCCCTGGAGTCCAGAGCCTGAACAGGCTCCAGGTGAGAGGACAGAGTGAATGCTTTTGTCTCATTCATGTTTTCCTTCAGCTGGTGATTTCTCCTGCTGTCTAATAGGTCATTTGTTTCTCCCACACCTCTTCTTCCTCATTGTTCTCATGCTTCTAATTTTTTTTCCAATTTCAATAAACCAGAATAGTGATTATAATGTCACATTCTATATCTGCCAAATTCCTGAAAAATACATTTTCTTTAGATTAGGTACAGATATATAAATTGATGTCATTTGTCACATACATTATGTATATTTGGTGTGTATGCTGCATAGGGTGTGTATGTATATGCAATAGACCTTGTAATGATGCAACTTTTGTAAATTCTTTTGTAAATTACAAAAAAAAACTTTTGTAAATTCTCCAGGTTTAGTCTTACCCAGTTCTTTTCTCATCAGCTGCTGTAACCTCTGTCTGGTCTCACCTCTGTGTCCCATGGGCTGCCACCCTCCCAGGCCCTTCCATCCCCATCTCCTGTTTGCACTCAGCTCTCATTTAACTTTCACTTTTATAATCTCTTCCCTCCCCAGAGCACAGACTACATGCAGGGGGTTTCCTTGCTTTTGCCTTATCTACCTGGAAGCTATTTGTGTTTCTTAATCCTGTGTTTCTTGAATATTTTTGTGAATCAGGAGTGCCTTGGCCTCCTGACAAACTTGTCCTTACTGAGTAATGGAAGAAAGATCAACAAAAAGAAAATATTAAAATCACTCTATTGGCTTCCCCTCACACTTTGGACTTTCTTGTCCAAGGCCACATTCCTGATTTGATGTCCTTTGGGTGGAAGAGAAAGTCACAGTAAGATCATGGATGCTAGTGGAGGCCATTGGCTGTCGTTTTGTTTTCAGAGCTGGTTTTAGAGCCCCCTGTTGCAGTGAAGAACCCTCTGCAGCTGGAAGATGATGCACTCGAAGGCTCCGTGGACAACACACAATGGCGTCAAGTCATTGGCCACATTCATGCCTCAAGTGTTTGGAAAACCAAGATGATTAAAAGAAAACTCCGGGCCAGCAAGTGGGTTCCCTACCCTTCACGCTTAGGGTGCAGAGGTAATCACATCTATGACTCTTAGCTGCACTCACTTCTTATTTCTGTCTGTGGTGACGGCTCATTCTCCCACTGCTTTTTCTCCTCCATTTGTTCTCTCCAGCAGCTGCTGTAACCTCTGTCTGGTCTTACCTCTGTGTCCCATGGGCTCACACCCTGTGAGGTCTTTTCTGTCCCATCTCCTCATTGCACTCTGAACTCTGCTCTACTCCTTATTCTGCTGTCTTGAGAGTCCCTCTCACAGTCACAGAAGAGCCAGACCTCCTTGTCCTCATCCATATGCACAGCTGAAGCTGCTGAACACAGGGTTCTTTGACTGGAAATGCACACTCTGCTGTGAAATTTACCTTTCCTCCCAGCATCCCCAACTCCATTGTCTCTTTCTGCAGGGAGCATTGCCTTAATGCATCATTTACACATAGGTTTTCCTCTTGAGTCGGCTTTGGAGCAACGCAACTAAGTCAACCCTTAATTGTCTCTTGTTCCTCTGAATGAGAAGTGTCAAAACTTAGCATAAAGAGCCCCACTTAGAAAACGAAATTAGAACCCGTGTCTCAGGTGGGAGTTCCCTATCACCCTGGAATCAGGTTTGTCTTCAGCTCCTGATGAGCATCCTGTGCCAAGGTCGATGGAGTTGCCAGGGACTCGGTGTTCTCACCTCATGGACCCATTTGAGCTGACATTAGGGAGGGAGGGAGGGAACTCTAGAATGGAATATTTAATACAGATGTCAGTGGGTCAGAGAGCTTTCCACTTCTCCCTGGCCCCAATATCAGGTTACTGGACCAAAGGCAGGTGGGACAAATTCATAGCCACCTGTGTACATGAGGTGTACCGGAGGTATTTGTTAGGCAGCTTACCTGGGCTCCTATGTCTCTTGTCACCTGCAATGATGTAATTTGTGCCCCTGCACAATGTCCATGGGATTTCTGTGCTTGTCCAAGGCCACTGTCGAAGACAGTCTTGCCTACATGTTTAACGATGTTGTTTCCCTGCTTTCATTCTTCTCAGACTGTCTTAGTCTCCTTGGAGTCAGCTTGTCTTAGCTAGGCAGTCACCTTGATACGAGGAGAAACATAAGATTCTCTAACAATTGATCAACCAGGATATATGGTGAGATAAATCAGTATTGCACCAATACTTCTGAAGGGTAGTTGGGGCCATGTTTGAAGATCATGGGGGAATAGTTTTGTTTGTTTGCACAGAGGACGTCAGAGGATACGTTATTAAGATGTATGTTAGATGAGGGAGATTCTGTCTCATGGGTCTGGAAAGCAGGCTCATCTACTTCTGACAAGACTTGATCTAGAGCACATTAGAACCTTCCTGTCAGAATATCACATTCTTACACTGAGGATATTGATTTCCCTGTGCTATGACTGGACACTGATTTGGTCTTGTGTGAAGTGTGATTTGCTCACTGTGGCCTGCTCTTCTGAATTTCTTTACAGGAAATCAAAAGGATCAGGAGGAAGAGGAAGGGGAAGCGCAAGTGCCCCCCAGGTAACTGTGGATTTGTGGGCTATTAGCTCAATAGCGACACCTGGAGACCATGATTCTAGGAGAAAATCGGATGGGAAGTGATGAATAGAACAATGGCATCCATCTATCCAACTGCAAATTACCCCTTTAACAATGTTGTCTTCTTTATCGTGGTACTTAAATGGGTTTCAATTTCATAATCCTTCTCAAACATAGGAACCCACAATCAGTTGAGCCAGGTGAACTGACCAAGCTCAGGGATTTCCTGATCTCACCTCATGTCTGCCTCTTTGGCATTACCACATTTGCAAGTATTTGATAGAAGGAAAGGGAATGAAAATAGCTCATATCATGCTCACAGTTTGGAGGGCAAGTGATGTTGAGGATAAAGGAACTCTTTCTGTCAAGATTCAAGAGCCCGTAGTCAATTGGCCTCTGATGCTAGTTTCAACAACATGTATGCAGAAGTGCTGAATGCACTGTGTCCTGGCAGTTTCCCACAGGGATCCCTCCATCTCCTTCCTCCCCAGCTCATTGTCTGCCCAGTGCACTGAGCGCCTGCCGCTCTGTCTCCTGCTTGAGACAGGGAAGGACGTTTATGAAGGCACTGTATTGGCTCCCTCTGGGCTCTCCTGTGGTCCTCCCTATGGAACCAGCAGGACGCAGTGGTTTTGGTCCTGTCCAATATTCATCTTTTGTCTTCTTTACTCCAGACTGAGCCAGGAGCTGCCACAGGAGAAGGAGCAGGAAGTCCCAGAAGACTCCTTGGATGAAATTTACTTGACTCCTTCAGTTCAACGTGACCCGTCTTACTGCCACCAGCCTTATAGCGGCACCTTATCCTCATTGGATGATCAGCTCACATGCTCTGCTCTGGATGTAGCCTGTGAGTACTCCAACCTGAAGGTCACAAATCTCCAGTGTCTTCCCAGGCAGCCTCCACATGTTTTCTTTCTGCAACTTGTGCTGCTGAGACAGGCTGTCAGTGCAGGCAGGCCATCTACACTGAGTCTGTTTTCAATCTGGCACAGGGATCCAGTTTTGATCACATACATCCAGAGGGTGAAACTTCCTCTACTCTGTCCCAAGTGACTCCTCTGTCACCTGGCTCCTTCTTATAAGAACAGGCTGTGGGCATGAAAGCTGGAAAGGGGTTAGGACTTTTAGCAAGTCCTTGCCCACAATAGCTCATCTAGATATATTTGCACAACAAACATTCTTCTTAAGACCTGGAATCTCTCCTTTCTGAAATTATGTTCCTAACTACATGCCTTCAATGGTGCCATTATCTCTCTCTGGCCACCTGCACATGCAGGCAGTTTTGCACAACTATTTCACTTCAGGGACACCCTAGCCCTGGAACCCCATCCCATGTCAGCTTCCCCAAGCACAGACAGGAAAGGTGACATCGCCTGCATTTACATGATGTCTGTCTGTGTGGCCTGGCTCACTGGAAGACTTTAGTGAGAAGCAGGGAGAGCAGATGGGTGTTCTGGGTGAGAGTAACAATGCGAAAACTGAGACTGTTCCTACTGAAGCCCCTTCTCCTTTCAGCCCCCACCCAGGAGACCTGTCCCCAAGGGACTTGCAGTGGAGACTGGAGCTACTACCTCTCAGAGGTGCAGGCTTCACAGACACAGCTGGAATCAAGTACCCAGTTGCCCATTTCTTTGGGACTACAGCTGGATCAAGGGATCGACTGTGGGAATGACTTAGCCAGGTGGGGCCTTTCCTCCACCACCTGCAGCTTCACGGCCAATGCTGATTCTGGGAACCAATGTCCCTTTCAAGGTAGGGAAGGAAAGGGGAATAGGAAGATCTAATCCAGGTCTTGGTGGTCACGGTGCTATGGATGGAGGAGAGAATGGGGCCTCCCCATGCTCACTCAGGGTCAAGTTGAAATCCAGAATGCTCCAATCCAGTGAGGTGAGCGAGAGCCTGGGGCTTAGGACAAAATCTGCTCTCAGGGCCTGGGTGTGCCTCTTTCTGGTTGTTCACTTTGGCCAAAGATTTTGTCTTTTGGGGATATAAATCTCTGTTTCCTCATCATAGCTACCTAAAACACAGCATCTACCTATAATCATTGTTGAGAATATTAATTATTATAATTTCCAAAGGGCCTTATTCAATAATTGCTCAATTATCCTGTAAATAGCTGTTATCTAATCCACTTGTCTTTCTTCCAAATTTAAGTTTAGAAAGTGACTTCACAGACTATGCCTTCTCTGAAGTAGAGCAATTGTGACGCTGTCTGTTTTCTAGAGACCCCACTTCCCTTGGTTCCTCACACATTCTCCTCTGCCAGTTTTGTTCCTCTTCTTCCCCATCCCTCATGAAGCCAATTCTCCACTATCAGGCACTTTCAGTGACAACCTATGAGGCAGATTCAGTAACAGTGTAAAGTCTGAGCCCAGGAGTCAGTCTCATGGCATATGCAGCTCTTTCTTCTCCCTATTTTCTGCTCTTTTTGAAAACAAAGGGCTACTTTCACATGGCAAGTATTCACATCAGTCTCTTTTATGAAAATCCATTTAGTTCATCATCTCCACTCATGTCCACAGCCATGTCCTCAGTTTCCATCTCACAGGGATCCTCTTCAGCTCAGATTTCCTTAGAACCCTGGGTCGTGTTCATTCTCACTCTCCATCCCACTCAATATCACCTCCTGGATACCCTGGGGCTGCCTCTCCTCATCTGTCAGGGGATGTCCACAGCTGTAGAATGAGAGGACCTGTGTTCTCAGGAGGAGGGAAGGTCACATGAGATAACAAGCACCATCTGGGTCCCTGGAGAGGACACATGGATGGTGCTCAGCGGTTGTCGGGAGATAGGCAGTCCCTTACAGGTGCCGTGATAACTTATTTAAACTGATTTATTCCCACTGAAATCTCATTTGCTTCTCTGTGGATTCTCACACCCCAGCCAAGACTCCCCCCACTGGCTCACACACACTCTCTCTTACTCACGTTCCCTGGAGTCCAGAGCCTGAACAGGCTCCAGGTGAGAGGACAGAGTGAATGCTTTTGACTCATTCACATTTTCCTTCAGCTGGTGATTTCTCCTGCTGTCTAAAGCTCATTTGTTTCTCCCACACCTCTTCTTCCTCATTGTTCTCATACTTCTAACTTTTTTTCCAATTTCAATAAACCAGAATAGTGATTATGTTACATTCTATATCTCCCAAATTCCTGTATAATATATTTTCATTGGATTATGTACAGATATATAAATTGATGTCATTTATCACATATATTATGTATATTTGGTGTGTATGCTACATACGGTATATATGTATATGCAATAGATCTTATAATGTTGCAAGTTTTGTAAATTCTCCAGGTTTAGGTTTCCCAGTTCTTTTCACATCAGCTGCTGTAACCTCTGTCTGGTCTCACCTCTGTGTCCCATGGGCTGCCACCCTGCCAGGCCCTTCCATCCCCATCTCCTGTTTGCACTCAGCTCTCATTTAACTTTCACTTTTATAATCTCTTTCCTCCCCAGAACACAGACTACATGCAGGGAGTTTCCTAGCTTTTGCCTTATCTACCTGGAAGGTATTTGTGTTTCTTAATCCTGTGTTTCTTGAATATTTTTGTGAATCAGGAGTGCCTGGGCCTCCTGACAAACTTGTCCTTACTGAGTAATGGAAGAAAGATCAACAAAAAGAAAATATTAAAATCACCCTATTGGCTTCCCCTCCCACTTTGGACTTTCTTGTCCAAGGCCGCATTCCTGATTTGATGTCCTTTGGGTGGAAGAGAAAGTCACAGTAAGATCATGGATGCCAGTGGATGCCATTGGCTGTTGTTTTGTTTTCAGAGCTGGTTTTAGAGCCCTCTGTTGGACTGAAGAACCCTCCACAGCTGGAAGATGATGGAGTTGAAGGCTCAGCAGACAACACACAAGGGCATCAAGTCACTGGACACATTCATGCCTCAAGTGTCCTGAAACCAAAGGCTATTAAAAGAAAACTCCGGTTCAGCAAGTGGATTCCCTGGCCTTCATGCTTAGGGTGCAGAGGTAATCCCATCTATGACCCTTAGCTGCACTCACTTCTTATTTCTCTCTGTCTATGGTGGCAGCTTGTCCTCTCACTGCTTTTCCTCTTCCCTTTGTTCTCTCCAGTGTCTGCTATAACCTCTGTCTTATCTTACTTCTGTGTGGGACCTCCCCGAACCACCAGTCCTTTTCTGTCCCCATCTCCTCTTTGCTCCCTGAACTGTTCTATTCCTTCTCCTTCGGCTGTCTTGAGAGTTTCTCTCACGGCCGCAGGAGTGCCAGGCCTCATTGTCTTCATCCAACTGCATTGCTTAAGCTGCTGAACACAGGGTTCTTTGCTGGAATTGCACAATTTCTTGGGAAATTTACCTTTCCTCCCTGCATCCCCAACTCCATTATCTCTTTCTGCAGAAAGCATTGCTTTAATACATCATCTACACATAGGTTTTTCTCTTGATTCAGCTTTTGAGCAAACCAACTGATTCAACCCTTCATCTTCCCTTGTTTCTCTGAATGAGAAGTGTTAAAACTGAGCACAAAGAGCCCCATTTAGAAAACTAAACTAGAATCAGGTGGGAGTTCCCTACTGGCCTGGAGTCAGGTTTGTCTTCAGCTCCACATCTGCAGACTTGTGCCAATGTAGATGGAGCTGCCATGGATTCAATGTTCTCACCTCATGGACTCATTTGAGCTGACATTAACTGGAGGACATTTATGACATTATATATAGAAATCACTTCAAAAGTACATGCAGATGACAGGACTTCAAAACTGCATACATCGTGAGGTACATCATTCTAACCTCTCTCCTTTTTATTCTCATTTCCACTTCTACAAGTCCAGTTTGGGGTCAAAAATGCAACTCAGATGAATCTTGAGGCCAGTTTATATGAGATAGCATTTTCTGAATTAACTTTGAGAAAAGTGACTCCACGACCAGCTTTATGCTTGCACAAGATGACAGGCAAGAATCTAGCCACAGGACAGTCTTTGCTTTGGCCCAGCCCAGTTGATAAGAGAGAGATTACATTGAAGTTGTCAGAGAGAAGACTAAAATCCATGGAACCACTGGGAACAAAACAAATCATGAGATAAACAGCAAAAGGAAAGAAAATGATGGGAAATTGGGTTGTTCCATTTAGTATCTCTATCTCCTGCTGCCATGTAATAAACACCTGGTGAGATTTCAATTAAGATGAATGCCTTGAACTCACACGTTGAGATTCTCACTTACATGGCCTGGGGTGTGCTTTGGGTGTGTGTGGTTTTAAAACGGTCCCATGTGACTCTAATCTGGGGCTAACGATAAGAAGGACCGCTGGTCTTGTATGATCTCAGGTTACCAACATAGAAGTGCCCCATATGCACAGCTACTCCAAAGGCTGAGCCTCCATCAGCCTTTGATGGGACCTATATTCCCCTCAACAGCACTGTTTGTATACCATAGAAAAAATGAAGAAGAAAAACAAGAAAATTAATAGATTAGACCTTTAGCCTCTGCTTGAAGCTCACTTGCTCAATTTTGAATACAAGATAAAGTGAGAAATAGTCATTACATTAACATCTAATGTACAGAAATAATATTTCTGTACATATTACATATAGGGAATTTAGTATTTTCTTTGGCAGTTCAAAATAAAACTTCCAGTTTACATTTAACCACACAGATTCTACAGCCCACTAATTGGCTCAGCACTGCAATGTGAACATTCCACTTGTGGTCACTTACGGTCCTTCTGCAAAGCCCTGAAAGAGAACTTACTGGTCTCACTCTCCTGAAGAGAATGCAATAACAAATCACGACTGGAATTCTGCAAGAGCTCGTATATGAATACTTCTTTATGCCACGCTTGACACTGACATTAAATATTGAAAAGTAGACTTTCCCCAAAATGCACTTTGGAAAAACAATGCGTGCGAGGGGAGAATGTAGTAAAACACAAACTAATCCTTTTCACTTTGTACTTCAGAGTTTTGTTGGTCTAGATGTTGAGAAGATTTCTAGAAATCCTGTAAGGTGTAACCAGGTGTGGAATCAACTTCCAGGCATTAGGGAAAATAAGTAGGGTCATAATTACAATCCCTCTCTCTCTTTGCTAACTCCATTTTGAGTGTCTTTTTTTCTTTTAATTTTCTTTCTTTCCTGATCCTCTTTCAAAGAATACTTATAAATATATTTGTTTTTTCTTTAAAAAAATTATTTTAACCAACCAAACAAGCAGCACAGACATCATATGTCTTATATTTTTTTGTAAAACTTTATTTCTGTCCTAGCCAAGGTGGCCCAACAGCCTCTCATGACTGTTGAGACCTCCAGACTGGAACCATTCCTCTCCCTTCCTCCAATATTTATTGAAAGGGCCTTAGTTCGTGGGTTCTAATTCCTGGGTTTTCAATAACAAGTCATGTGGCCTTAGTTGAATCGTATCCCAGTGGCATCACTACGCCTTTGTTTTAAAGGCTGGAAGTGGACGTGGATGTTGTCTAAGGTTCCTGCTGCTTCTTATATCCAGAGATCTTCCCACGGCCTCCTGCTCCTCCCTAGAAGACTGGGACATGGAGTTTAAGGGAGTGGGTTTCTCTGCAGAGGATATTCCTTTTCTGCAGCCCTCTGTCTGAGCATGTATGATTGATGCTCAGCACATCCTCACTGGGAGGAAAAGCCATGACTCTGCTCCAGACAGAGGGGATCAGGAGAAAAGGGGCTGATGTTCCCGGCTGCCAGTTGGGCATAGGCGGGGTCCCTATATCCTGCACCGCAGGCTGACTGGAAGTTCAGGGAAATTCACTGGTGTTTTCTTCTCACTTGTGAATGGGGTTTCCCCTTTCAGCCAGCCCAACCCTCACCCTCAGCTCAAGCTCCCAGCAGGAGATCAGTTTGTCCCTGGGATATCACCAGTTAGCAATCCCTCTAAACTCAGTCTTCAAAACGACCTGACAAAAATGCTGATTTCATTATCCCCTCTCCTTCCCCTACAGGTACCAAATACTACCAGAAGGATGTAAAGGATGAAAGGATGCCAAAAACGTAGCTTTTCCAATTGGTGAGAAAAAACCAAGACAGCAAAGCAAGTTCAAGTCCAAATACAATGACACTGCAGGGAACCTTCACAGAGGATTGAATTTTAGACCACAGAATGCTCTTGCTGATTTCAACCCACCAGGCTCCTTCGATTTGAGAAGCCACAGTCCATCCTAGTCCAATAGTGATCAATACCTAGGGAGACCAATTCCCAGATGGACATACAGCATTGACAGGCCTTAGCCCTGCTTCTCTCAATTCCCATCCTGTGAGAACAGAAGTCCAGAGCTGCTGGGATGAGACAGCATGTCACCCGGGACTCTGCCATGGTAGAGTATGAACAATGCCATGTTCTTGCTGAAAATGTTTAGTCTGAATTTCATAGGAGGTAATCCTCAGGCAATTACAGAATGTAGAACATTGAACAGGACAACTGACCTGTCTCCTTCAAATAATCCATGTCACCACCAAGAACACAACAAAAAGGCGAAGAGACACTTTGGGTTCAAAAAGAGTAAAAACTATGTAGCTTATCTTTTTTAGACATTTTGAACCCCAAACATCTCTTCCTCTTTTGGTTGTTGTCATTGATGGTGGTGACATGGACTTGTTTGTAGAGGACAGGTCAGCTGTCTGGCTCAAAGCTCTGCATTCTGAAGTCGTCTGAAAATGTCCTCATGATTAAACTCAGCCTAAATATTTGGCAAGGAGCACTGCAGAGTCATGCCGTGAGCCTCACACCTCAGGCCATCTGCAGGCAGAGAAAACCAGTGTCTTCATCCCCATTATTGTGATACTAGGACGTTCTCTTGGTTAAGGAGGGGGTCTATCAGCTCTGTCCATTTTAAAGACACCTTATTTATAATTTGAAAGTCGTTTGAAACAGCACGAATATCCTGTATTTTAACAATCTCCCTCTGAGCATTTTATCATCAATTAATCACCCCTGCCTGGGTCAGTTAATATATTTATGTGTTTACATTGGAAATTTTCTATCTCAAAATTTTATTATATACTTGTTTTTGCTGGCATTCTTTGTAAAAGAAAATATATATTCCCTGCTCAAATTTTAACTTTCATCCAGAATTAATTTTAATTTGTTTTTGCTGGCATTCTGCTGTGATAAAGAATATTCTCTGCCCCAAATTTAACTTTTATCCAAAATTAATTTTAGTTTATTAGTTAAAATGTTTAAGTTTTAAATCTAATTAAAATTTTTTGTCTATCACTCTGGACTACTGGATTTTTTACATGTAGTGTTTTCAGCTTTTTTTGTTATGAAGGTTTTGGCCGATAAGAATATAGATTAACAAAAACATTCTTATTTCCCTGTTTACATTCTAAACTCTTCCATATTTTGTCTGTATTTACCATATGTGGTCGATTGTAGTTACTGTATTTCTTTGTTGATGTTATTTGTTTTCTTTTTTTTTGTGTGTGTATGTGTGCCTTTTGTTTGTTATTTAGGAAGGGTTGTATAGCTCCTGTTTAACATTGCAGTAAAAAAATTTTGACATCACTAATCCCCTTTTAACTTGATACACTTCTATTTGGTTTATAAGTTTTAAATTACGTCTTTCAACTTCAAAATTGTACCACTATGACAATCAAAGACATTATTTTCCTCTTCTCTAACCTCTTTACCTGCCATTTCTTATTTGTTATTTCAACCCAAACATAAAGTGACAGCCTTTGTGCTTCACCTGTCCCCACCTTGGTTTTTGGTTTAGATCTACAATTAAATACATTGATGCACACGCTGTTCAAAAGTGTATCCGAAGCATCACTTGTTGACTGGAATTTATCCTTAACAGAGGCCTCATGAGGGAATCAGGTCCCACTGAGTTTTGCATGCTTAATGAACTTTTCCCACTGTCTTCATACATGGATAGGATCACTGGATAAGGTACTTGCCCGAAATGTATTTTTCTTGTGATTTTAGGAAATATTGTTTGGCTTTGGGGGACAGGCATGTGTGTTCTCATTCTGGGATCCTATTTTGTCCTAACAAGACCTTTAATTTCTACCAGTTACTTCATTCATTCTCTTCACCACAAGTCTCCTTCGTTTGACCAGGCCTCCCCATCTCCCAGCCATTCTGCCCTTTGAAGATTGGCCCCTCTGGCCCTCTGCACCATGATGCCCCTGCCTTTCAATTTCCCAGTAGCAGGGTTCTGATCCACCAGGTCTCAGCCATGTTCTGTGTTGCTCCACACTTGCTGTATAAGGATGGTTTTTCCTGTGTTCTGTCATGAACAGGCCCTCAGTGCTGTGCTGGCCTTTATTTGCGTAGTGATTCCTGCTCCCTCTGCTGTTGTGTGGCTCCCAGACCTGGCTAAGTAAAATCACCTTAGGTCCACAGTGTTCCCTAGCCCTGGTTGGGGACAGGATTATGGGTGGTATTTTTGACTCTCTGTTAATCCCTAGGGCTTTGAAGTGTATGTGGAGAAATTCAGCTATTAGTCTATCCTACTTCTTCAAATGCAGAACTTTTATAGTACAAAAATTGAGCAGAATCATATACTAGAACATCCCCGTAATCACTGGCCAGCTTCAATTATCAACAAATGGCTGAGCTTTACTAAATACAATCCTTCCTAGTTACCTATGAAGTGTGTGTGTGTGTATGTATACTTCATGGTCTATCAAATGAACACAAATGTTAACAGACTGGAACTCAGCCTCTGCTGTGGAAATAACTCCACTTGAGCTAACATAAAGAATGCAGTCTTTCATGTGGCCACTCACTTCTTTGGTGATAGCTAAAACCTATCTTCTCAAAGAGATGGCTGTGTGATTGAATGATTACATGGGTTTTCTGGTTTACACAGTTTTTATCCTCTTCATGTATGAGATTTTTATATCTTCAATAGTGATTATTGTATTCTTTTTACCTGAAAAATTCACGGTTCTCCCACAGAGACAATGAAAATGCAAAATGTCTTGAGAATTCTAAGAGCAAAAACAGAAACAAAAAAGTAGTTCTATTTATAAATTTGAAACAAAAGTTCTTGCTACCCACAGAATTATCTGCATTTGACTTAATTGTCATTAATACAAATTCTTAAGAGATTATATCAGCTGTTGAATTTACTAACTCTTAGACTTTTTATAAAAGCTTATTACTTGCCACATATGGGAATTGTGTCTGTATGTATTCTTAGCTGACTATCAAAATTCAAAACCTCATTTAGCCTTTGAATAGCGAGTTCACTAATGTTGATAGCTAAAATCACAGTATTGAAAACCTAAAATCGGCCCTCTGATTTGATAAGAGAACATCACACCCTTTAATCTAATAAGGAATAAGGTAAAGAAATATCCTTGAGAATTGTATAACGTCATCCCTCTAGAGTAACCAAAGGTAGCCTTTGGTTCCTCTAAATTGTAAGGGCATTAGTTTTCTTTTCACAATATGCTCTGTATGTAGTGACTTCTCTTCAAAGTCACCTTCTTATAAGAAAAGGCTTTCCAAATCTCCTCTCCCCTAGGAATATATCCCTCTCTTCTTCCCCAGATCAAGGCTTAAAAGTTTCAGGACATGAAAAACTCTTTTAAAGTTCCCCAAGTTCTAAAAAAAAATGAATCTGTTTTTATTTGCTTTCAAATACAGAAACAGTAAAATGTTCAGAAATTGTATTACATGTGCTTATTTTCAGTTTCTTTTTCTTAATTCTAGAATTATTTTCTATTTTTTTCTGAAGGAAAAAGAACTCTCAACAGAAAACATGAAAATATATTATAAAACATATGGCATGCGGCAGGAAGAATTACTGTTACTAAGATGCCTTCTATAGAGTAGTATTAGGGGTTTTTGGGTTGGTTTATTTTTTATTTTTTATTTTTTTGCTCTTGCTGTTGCTGCTCTTGTTTTAATTGTAGTAGCAACCAATTTGTACAGACTTAAACTACAAACTCTCTCCCACTGAGTATATGGTAGCTGATGTCTTTACTCAATTCTTACAGTTTGAGCTGCTGATTTATTTTATTTTATTTAGGCTGGCTCCTTGGCATTTCCCATAGGCTTGCATAAAATAGGGTCAGCCAAGGATTTGAACAGATTATATACAATGGTCCTTCAATATCCACGTGGTTTGGTTCCAGTACCCCTGAGGATATAAAAATCCACATATGTTCAAGTCCCTTACATAAAATAATGTAGTATTTGCATGTAACATATGCACATCCTCCTATATACTTTAAATGATCACTAGATCGTCTCTTTATAGCATATACAATGTAAATGCTGTGTTAACAGTCATTAATATTATTTTTCATTGTTACACAGTTTTTTTCTTCAAATAATTTTGAAATATGACATCTGTGGATGTGGCACCATGAAAATGAAGTGCTGATTATACTCATATTCAATGTCTCACCATTTCTGAGGCTTTCTTGATTACTGGAAATCCACTCTTGATTTATTGCTTCTTTGCCAAATTTTGGTGTTGTCTTACTACACCGTAAGCCTGTCAGACTTCAACTTCATTCTGACCAAGTTGTAGATGAGTTGGAGATTGTGGTCAATTTAAAAGGAACAAAAATAAGAAGATATGAAGTGATCAAATTCACAAATTTCAACTTACATCTTTGCTGGGTTCTCCTTGTTCTTGTTTGTTTTTCTAGTTGAAATATTTCAGAAATAACTCTGCTTTGGTTTCTGTCTTCCCATGTCTTTTCACAGTTTTTTTTGTTTTGTTTTTTGAGACCACGTCTTGCTCTGTCGCCCAGGCTGGAGTGCAGTGGCACGATCTTGGCTCACTGCAGCCTCTGCCTCCTGGATTCCAGTGACTCTCCTGCCTCAGCCTCCTGGGTAGCTGGGATTACAGGCGCATGCCACGACACCTGGATAATTTTTGTATTTTCAGTAGAGACGGGGTTTCACCATGTTGGCCAGGCTGGTCCCGAACTCTTAATCTCAGGTGATCCTCCTGCCTCGGCCTCCCAAAGTGCTGGGATTATAGGTGTGGGCCACTGTGCCCGGATGGTTGTTTTTTCAATAATGTGTATTTTTCAAGATTTCATCTCTGACCTGTAGGAGAATTGACTCACCTCTTCATTCTACCACCTTGCTATTACAGAAGATTTTTAAACTTGGCTTTTTTATATGAGATAAATAGTCTTCTCTTTTTAAAAAACACACAGTTCATTTTGAGTTTCTGTCACTC